TGCATCCGATGAAGTGAGCTGTAGCTCACGAAAGCTCATGCTCAAATAAATTGGTTAGTCTCTAAGGTGCCACAAGTACTCCTTTTCTTTTTGCGAATTCAGACTAACACGGCTGTTACTCTGAAACCTGTCATTATGCAAAGCATTTTTATATTCCTCTCCTTGAACCATCTTACTTAACAGTGTTGCCAGTGAATTTTAAAGCTCAGACACTAAAATCAATTGGAGAAAAATTCATTTCCTGTTTAATTACTGCAACAGAAAAAGATGTTGCCATTCTGGTAATCCTACCATGTTTTTTTTTCACTAATTTGTAGTCCCAGATCTCACTGACTCAGAAGTAACTGATAGGGAGACAGACAAGCCAATCTTACCCCTCCAGCAAGAATCTCATGCTGCAGCGATCACATCCTTAAACCTACGACAATCTCACACCTTTCACTGTGGGAAATACATTGCTGTGATGGTGCACTAATCTGAAAGAAGCATCACAGCAGCAAATCTAGAGGCGTATCACTCTGAGCCATCATGAAAAAGGGCAATAAAAACCAGCCACACTCATTTACGTCTGCTGGAGGCAGTTACTTTTAAACAGAGGACTCGTGCAAAATCTTTGTGGTCTTAGAATTTTTAAAAAAATCTAAGTATATTTACAGTTGATTTAACCATGATATTGGCCCTTTTATACACTCAGGTTGTAGACTGCTTGCAGCACAAAGACAGCAAATGATCAGCACCCTTCACAAATGTATTCTACAGAAACTGTTCCTATGTTCGCACAAACTACAGCACCTGAGTTGACTTCATATCAAAATGTGACAGCTGAAATAAAGAGCAGCATATTACCATTCTGATGACATTTAATGTGCTAATAAAACTGAGCCCAGTACAATTTTTTTCAAACATGTCGTCCTTCCCCTTCCCACTTACCCCTAGCATGCTTATCAGTAAATTCAGCTCTGGCATACTTCAGATTTTTTTTTTATGTTCCATGTCAGCCAGAGAGATCCCCTCCTCCTCTGCCAAAACACACTGTATGCAACACATACATTCCATTTTTAACTCAGAAACTACCTACAAAAGTACAAGCTTTGAATATGTACATATATTTTTATTGCAAGATTACCAAACAAACTAGAAAGAAGACAGTGGATTAACTAGTAAATTATGGAATTTTATCTGTAATATTAATCCTTCCAAAGAGGCATGTAAAGTAAGAGAGACATACTGTAATTAGCTCATTTAAATTAATCAACACATCATTTTTAATAAAAAACATCTTTTGCATGTTGAGCACATCATTGTTAAACCTTGGAAAGCTAAAGGTTTTAGTCTACCAAGAGATGTGCAAGAGCTTCTCCTCACATCCCTCAAAACCATCAGTCCCTAAAGGCCCCTTTTCTGACCATGTAAATCAACCCAGGAATAACCTAAATTTCTCAGAGATCACATCATTTAACACAGAAACCTTAATGTAAAGTATCTCTGTGCACTGTTTATTAGTGACAAGTTGTATTATCAGAGAAAATTAAGCATAAGCAAATAGCATAATATAATAAATAACATAAGCTGTAAAACCTTAGTTTGCACAAACTCAGGGATTCTGCATCTCTAATCCAAAAGAGCTGGAATTTCCCTACAAAATCAATCAATTACAAAACAATGTCCACACCCAAAGTGTTTTTCAGATTCCAGTGGAGAATGCTAGAGATCAGTCTGAGAAATAAGAGACCAATGGATCGTAAAGAGAGCTTGGTTAAAAGCCATGCAAAGTCATATAACATTAAGGTAATTTAAATCTAGGAAGGCTTTTGAGCCTTTTACATTGAATCACTTATGAACATCTGAGACTATTCTCTCTATATATGAAAAAAGGCACAACAACTCTAATAGAATCCAAGAAATACATGAGTGCGCAATATTTGGGAAAGACTGGTATTTTAATATAATAACCCACTAAATTAGTTAACTACAGTCTGGATGCTACAGTTTAAAATCATGCTTGGAATAATTTTTCTGAAAAATCCAATTTTTGTTTTTTAAAAATTAAACTTCAACTGTTTCAGTTAAAATGTTTTAGCTAAGATGTTTTAAAACCATGACTTTTAATTCTAGTCTAGGAAAACTTTAATGTGTGTCATGTCAAGGGTACCCAGTTACAATACAATTCTATTTTGCAGCGCAGACAGATCATTAAAAGTGCCCCTGAATCGTGCTAATTCCTTTGGCTGTCTAAGAGTTTGTGTACAAACTACCACTGAAGTAACTCAATCAGTTTAAATCACACCTTTTATTTTGGTGCAAGTCTGTGTGTGGACATACATTTCATAATAAAACTGTCTTACTTTGATTTAGTTTAAGTCAATACCCTACTGATTTAAGTTAACTGAAAGAAAAGTGACATGGTAAGTGAGGTAATATCTTTTAATAGACCAACTCCTGTTGGTGGAAGATACAAGCTTTCAAGCTACATGGAGCTCTTCTTTAAGAGCATCCACACAGAAACTTGCACCAAAATAACAAAGACATGAATTAAAACCAGTTAAGTTATTTCAGTCCCAGTATGCTTGTAGATAAACTCTAAGGCTTGATCATGGTTTGGGGATAAAGCTATGATCTTCTTTAAACGGGGTCCTGCAGCTCTGATTGTAACTGTAGGGTAGGCCCCTTTATATCACTCCAGCAGCATAAAGGGATCTTCACATGGGTAAAAATGGCCCTCTCAGAATCTCCTATGTGCAGGGGCCACCCTGGAGGCTCTAACAGAACTAGTGTAATGGCTCTACATTTACCCTGCTCCCAAGCCGCCAGCACAGGGGGCCTGACCAGAGTGCACCACACTATGGCTATTCTCTGCTTCCCCAGGGCTCATAGGGAGTCCTGGGAAGCAGAGCATAAATTACAGAAGACCTGAGGATGGTCTAACTTACACCAAGCAGACCCCATGCAGTTCAAGAATATGGGGAACACAAACGTGCACAAAGCCACCTGTGATCACTGCACCAAGTGTAGGGCAGGAGTGACTGAGATTCAGGCCCCATGTGCGTAATGATAACTACCACCTATTAAACATTATACAATGCTATGTGGCCTCCAAGCCCTGTTACTTATCTGAAGTATAACTGCTTATCAAGTTAGTTTGTTACTGGCAGGTAGCAAATTCAGACTGGTGTCATCAGCCTATTGTTATTTACTGAATGCAGGTGAAATGCTGGGAACTAGAGGAGATAGCAAATTGTGACAGGAGAGTGACACCCATTAGGATTTACCCTGTGCCAGAGATGCAAACAGTAAAGATACATGGTAGGAAATTTACAGGCAAAAGACACCTTTCTGAATTTGCTACCACTAATAAAAGGCAAGAGATTACATGAGTACTTACAGTAGCATTTTTTGTGATGGGAAAACATGCAAAAATAGATCAAGATGTCAGAATTTGCTATGAGAAGCAAATTCTGACAGTCACGCATTTTATAATGCTACAGTCCAGAGAAACTAAGTGTTTCTCCAACATATTGGAAGCATATTTTATGGGCATTCGTATTGTTTAGTAGCCTAATAGTGAACTTCAGCAAAGCACCACAGAGGAGTCTAGGGTTCTTCAGAGGTGGCTGGCAGCAGAAAAGAATCCTTAGCTCAGCTCACAAGCAGATGCTAGGAGACAGGTACAATACAAGGGGTAGTGCTTGCTGTGAGGGTATATTATGGAAAGGTTTTTAATTTTCATAGATATTAGAGACCTCTTAGATCATCCAGTCTATTGCCCTGACAGCACAAACCTGGAGAGAAAGTGCATCCAATATTAAACAGACAAAAAAAGGAACCTGATAAAAAAGGAACAAGCCTGGGAAAATCATTAAGGGGTATGGAACAGCTTCCATTTGAGAAGAAATTAAAAAGATTGAGACTGTTCATCTTATAAAAGAGACAGCTAAGGGGGATATGAGAGAGGTCTATAAAATCATGAATGGTATGTATGGATAAAGTAAATAAGGAAGTGTTTTTATGACTTCACATAATACACGAACCAGGAGTCACTCAATAAAATTAATAGGCAGCAGGTTTAAAACATACAGAAGTACTTCTTCACAAAACACACAGTCAACCTGTGGAACTAATTCCCAGGGGATGTTGTGAAGGCCAGAAGTATAAGTGGAGTTTAAAAAAGAATTAGAAAAGTTGAGGGAGGACAGGTCCATCAATGGCAATTAGCCAGGATGGCCAGCAACACAACCCATGCTCTGGATGCCCTAAACCTCTGCCTGCCAGAAGCTGGGAACAGATGGATCACTCTGTAACTGTCCTGTTCATTCTCTCTGAAGCATCTGGCATCAGCCACTGGCAGAAGACAGGACACTGGGGTCGACGGACCACTCCCCGACCTTATAATCCACAGAACAGCAAAGAGTTAAAGGAACAAGATACCAGTCTTCCAGGGGAGAAGACACCCGAGGAGGTATCCCTTAGAACTTGTCTGACAATGCTTTCCACAGACCAGCACAACATCCTGCACAGGATGGGACCCCTGAATCCAGGACAGACTTGGCAAAAGTCTGCCTAGGACTGGGTGGGAAAGGGGGAGCTATGCCAAATACTGGCCGGATTAGACACCCACCACCTCTGCCCCATCCCACCTTCACTGACCTGCTCACCCACTACAACTGATAGGAAATCTCCACGGACACTCAACCCGCGAAGGGGCCAAGTCAGTGGGCAGGAAAGGAAAGGAGGCGGGGAAGGGGGCAGTGGGGGACTTGCTACGAAGTGCTGCCTAGCGGTCAGGGGCTACCGGCTACTCGGCCTGGGGCAAAGTGGCATGTCTGCGGGGAGGGGACCGGGGGCTGCGGAAACAAGCGCTGCCGTGCGGCCTGACCCAGCCTCGCCCCACGGGACCCGCGCAGGCCGGGGGCTCCCAGCTCCCCGAGCAGGGTCTGCGCCGCTGCGGGTCGGGCCGTGCGGGCAGCCGGCACAGCAGCCCCACCTGCGGCCGTGACAATCACCTGACACCGCCAGCACCGCGCACTCATCCGGCTGGCAGTAAATAGCCGTCAGAGCCGACAGCTCCTCCAGGGCCAGCGCCGACATGGCGACCACCGGCCCCTGCCAAGCGCTCCGAGGCCTGCTGGGGCGGCCTGCACAGGCCTCTTCCCCTTCCGCCGTCGCTAGAACCCGCCTCCGCCCTGCGGCGGCGTGAGCCGGACCAGCGGCCGCCAGGGGGCGCCCTGGCCCCTCCCCTCCTGTCGCAGCCGCCGCAGGTCAGTGAGCCGGCCGGGCGGAGCGAGCCGCCTCCCTCGTCACCTTCCCAGCGCGGCTCTCGGTGCAATGGCCCCGCTCCGCCAGAGGGGGGCATTCCAAGGCAACGGGCTTACTGGCCGCAGAGCGCCTTTGGTGGGCCTTGTTCGCGTACAGCTCTGCCGCCTCCTTGTTGGTGGCCTTGGACAAACTCCTTGAACCTCTCTGGGCCTCAGGCTACTCCTCTCTACCATGGGGATAAAAACATTTATCAGCCTCCCAGGAGCGTCGTGAGGCTTAAGCAGTGAACAAAGCTAGCAAAGTGCTTTGAGACAGGCCATGAAAAGCACCATTTGGTACTAAACAGTAATAATAAAAATAAATAGTCAAAGCAGGGGATTATAGTGATTATCTGGTAGCAAATGCTATAGTTGAAATGTCCAGTGAGGGGAAAGAGACTGCAGGGCACCTAGGACTTTTGCCTCAGAGATCAAGTATGGTTTGTGGAATCCTAAACTGTCAGTGAGTGGCTTTTCTAATGCCCCCATCTGAATGGACACTTCCCTATATTTAGTGCTGAATCAGCTTAGTAGAGCCAGAGCCAGTTGTCAGACTTATTTCCTTTTTTAAATTGTTGCCTTTAATCAACATAGTGATAGCATTAACAAAATTCTTCTAAAACCATTAATTCCAAATATTATTGTTTGTATTGCATTGGCATTTTGTGAACCAAACCATCATGCTGTGCGAGACATAGTAAGAGACAGTACATATCCTGTAGAATTTACAATCTAAAGAGACAAAGTGGGGAAATTATCTTCTTTTTACAGATGGGAAACTGAGGTACAGAGAGAGGAAATTACTTATTCAAGATCACACAGCAAGTCTGGGCAGAGCCTAGAACTGAACCTAGGTCTCTTAAATCCCAATCTAATACCTTCATCACAAGACCATCCTTCCTTTCTAATGGTCAGTCTAGAGAAGGCCCCTCTAAATTCTCTCTCATAGATATAAACCTGATAATTCCAGCTAACACCAAGATAGTATAATGAACAATAAGATAGTATTAAATATTTTCGGTATTTAAAAGTCCCCACACTCCATATGTGGCAGGATGTTATAAAGACTATACAAAAACTGACATCAGTGGGGCCCTTTTTTTATTAACATTTTATTTTAAAAGCAGTTTCTGAAAACTGCAACATAAACCCGCTGCTATTTTTAATTCCTTAAATCCTGTTAAAATAATGAAGAAATATTGGGAGGCTGAGCTGCAGATGAGTGAAATAGTGTGAAAAACACAGAACTGAAGCTGTCAGAAGAGTTGCTAGGTAGTTCCTGAAGCTGTCAGGAAAGCATCTGTGGAAATTAGCCTTAAAATCGCCTCATTCTGTTATTAAGAACTTTCTTGCCACTAGTTCCCCCCCACACACACTTTTCCTAATCCACTTTGCATATTTCATTTTACATGTTTAAATAAAAAAAAGGTCAATGTAAACGTCTCTGAAATTGACACTATCACAAGGCATTGAGGTCTCCATGAATAAGTTACTGCACTCTGACATTTGGAAGTCATCAGATAAGACAGTATAATATTAGCTTGATATTTCTCATAGTATGAAAATATCAGCTTCACGTCAAAGATCTAAATTCCAACTTAATGTAATAAATTGTCTTGTATTCACAGACTGGTGAAATTGCTACACATTTATATGTGAACTGAACTTCTGCAGTACGGCCAAGCCTTCATATTCCATTATTATTAAAATGTAAGTCAAGATCTCTTTTCCTCTTTTTAAAAAATTCTTCAAACATTATGTTTGATAGAATATCATTAACTGCACTCACTTCTTCAAATAGATGCTTTCCCAGCAACACAAGAGAAATAGTTCAAAATTCCTCAGTTCTTTTAAGTCAGTCTATCTTAAAACAGCTCTGGCATCCTGTCATAAAATGGGTTTTACTCTGATGGAGCTAATATTTTCCACACATAGCATACAGCATTTGGGCCTTAATATATAAACACCAACAACTTTGGCAAGACTCTGATCTTCCCAGGGCTGTTTAAAAAAAAGATATTGTCCTACACTATGATCACCTGCCCCAACAACTGAGAGACTTGCATCATCACTCATTATTGTGTATATATAAAGGGCATTTTAGACCTCTCTATTCCCCCAAATTATTTGACTTGAAGAGGAACCCACAGCAGAGCAGCAGGAACCCAGCTGAAGAGGAAAGAGTAGCATGGAATGTTGCACGCCATATATTTACCACCAGCTTCTCCACTTATTCTCCATACAGGCTGCCTGTACAAAATTGAAAGGAGGGTGGACTTGCTACAGTGGACTGCCAGGGAACAGGTGGTCCATGTGCTCCATTTCTCTTTGTAATGGACACCTGGCACTTTGTAGGCATCCCTACAAATGTGTAGAAGAAGGATTTCATTCATTATGCTCAAAGTGTCATTATCTTTCCCCTTTTAGGGGTCACAGAACACAAATCTTGACTACGAGCCAATAATAGCATTGTAACTTGGATGGCTGAGATGTGGGGGTGAAAGAAGCATTGAGGGGTAAGATTCTCTGTATAACTAGGGAGGGTTCCACTTAATTTGATCCAGGTTTCCAATCCCTGACCTATGTCTCCCACCCCTACAGCACAGGCACTAATCACACCAGAATATGGGTTGCTGCTTCCGAAACAGATCCTCTAATCCTCCCCAACCCTTCAGGAAAATGCTACCCCTTGTCTCCCCCCGCCCCTCAACCCCAGAATCTTTTTATACTGAGCACAGAAAGTGAGAACCATTAGACTCTGTTCTGACAAACACATACATGAGTAACTTTACACGAGTATAAACTATGAGCTCAAAAGGACTAGTCACCTATGTAAAGTTACTCGTGCTGAATCAGAATCATAATTAACCTGTGGGACTTTTAATAATAGCATAGTTGCTTTATGACAACATTGTGGAGTGCTATGCAAACGTGACTAACAGAATAAAGAGTGCATTTTTAATAAAAGCTTTCCATTACTCTGTAATATAAAAAATGCATAAAGATCTCAAGTAATTTGTTCTTGAGACAAAGCCAGAGAACATATGGTAAACACATATGGTATTTGTAGCCTTAGCTGAAATGAGAAACCACAGGTTACCTAATCCATCCAGGGTATGAATATATGGCTTACAATTTCCAAGCAGATGCTTCACCAGTTTGGAAGAGCTTATTTTACAGCTTCAGATTAGATGTCATAACAACAAGCACTTGTAAGTCTCTTTATAACAATAAAGTTACTGATGAAAAACCAACTGCACATTATACATTGTAAAAGAACTTTGATTTTAACTTTAAAAAGTACTTAATATCTACCTGACAGACACTGTACTTCTCAAGGAACTCAATATGCTACTGTATTATACTGCCGTTTATGTTAGGAAAAATAAACCTGTTGTGCACATGTCATTCCCAGACTTTCTAGGCAAACATGAAATTCTACTAACTTGACAAAACATTTCTTCTCTCACTTCCCCAATACACACATTGATAGACACCACATTAATTTTGTCTACAATAACATTTGTTGGGAAATCTCCTCCTGTTGCACCAGGAATAGTGCAGATCCTACAATCTCTGCTGACAGAGCACAGGCATTTTTACCACATAGACTTGTTCTGTGTAGGATTAGATAAAATGGAGGTTTGAGTTAGCAAATGGTCGATATTAATACTTCCACCGTAACAGCCACTTAATGCTAGCTAGTGTAATGGTGGGAGATTCTCAAAAAATCTAATACAGACACAGCTATAGAGAGCTAGATGAAAACCTATAAAACTACCCAAAATAAGACTAAAGGCAAGAAAGTAAGTAAAATGTTTAAATGGACACATCCATAGCAGATGTGAAAAAGATTTAATAAAGAACGAAGGGAGATTTTTCTTCTAAAAAATTATAAATGTGAGTTCTGCATATGCATTGTCTCCAGTAGAGCTAGTCAAAATATTTCCATCAAAAAAATTTTGGACAAAAAAAATTGGTCTTTTCACAACAAAAATTTTGGCAGAAAAAAATTATTTAATTTGAAATTAAAAAATAATTGATGACAAACTGAAAAACACTTTTACAAACAAAAAATTGTTTTAAATGTTGGTGGTTTTTTTTGAAACTGAATATTTTGGTTTTTGTCAAAAAGGAAACAAAGGATCAAGATGCCTAAGAATATAGAAAATATCCGATGCTATTTGGCAAGATTTCAAGGATAGGCAAATATACATGAGCTAAATTGATGGGTGGCTGCATTTCAGTAGCAGACAAGAAGATCCCTATATATCTCATTGTTACCTCAATGTATTGTGGTAGTACTGGAGGCTTTCAGCAGGCAGCAAGGTTCCATTAGGCTAGGCACTGTATACACGTCTAGTAGAAAGACTGCTAGTCTCAAGAAGCTTACAATTTAGTTATATGATGACAGAGAACAAGACGATTAAAACAAATAAAGGGCGCACAAGATAACGGAAACAATTATGATAAGCTTGATAAGCTGCAGTCATGGCACACTAGCTGCCCAGCCACCACGCACTGTGCTGTGTCAGGCATTATCTAATTATTTATAAAGCACATTTAAATCCTGACAATAAATTCATTATGCAAAGATCAGGATTTGTATGGAAGAGATGTGCTTGTATGTTGTACTTTGCATATTCTGTACTTCTGTATTTTACCAGTGTGTGTCAGCAGAAGCTATGATAGCAACACAAAAGTGTATTTCATTCCTGTATATAGTTTGTAAAGTACTTTGGTAGCCACTGTGAAAAGAGCACAATACTAATAAAGAAAAGGAGTACTTGTGGCACCTTAGAGACTAACAAATTTATATGAGCATAAGCTTTCGTGAGCTACAGCTCACTTCATCGGATGCATCACGAAAGCTTATGCTCAAATAAATTTGTTAGTCTCTAAGGTGCCACAAGTACTCCTTTTCTTTTTGTGAATACAGACTAACACGGCTGCTACTCTGAAACCTGTTACAATACTAATGTAAGCTTATGCCTCAGGTAATACCATTGTTGCCAACTCTTGCAATGTTATCTCAATGTGCTGTTTATCTTAAAGCTAAATGAGAATCTCAACTTTCATTAAATAATAATAAGTTGCTAGCTGTCGTGGTTGCAGAGAAAAGCTTGAAATCATGAACCATATACACACTAAAAGCTAAGAAATTGGAAAACAAAATGAAACCCACGTTTTAAAAAAACCTCATGATTTTTTGAGGATTGAATGGTTTTTGAAAATGTGGGATTGGCAATGCTGTAATATATAGAGCTTTTCAACCATAGATTTCAAAGAACTTGGCAGAGCTGGATAAGTATCATTATCCCCATTTTACAGAGGGCTGATAGTATAGTAAGTATGTTTTAGCTCACAAAGCAAGCATCTGGCAGAGCCTGAAACAGAACTCAGGTATCTGGACTTTCAGTCTGGTGCACTATCAGTTGGGATAGGTTCCCTCACCATGGAGCCAAAAGAAGAAATCTGTCCTTTCTTTTCCCTTCCTTGTCTGGTTTCTCATTTCTTTCCTTGGGCTACCCTCATTTTTTCTTGAGCTTCTTGCCCTCAAAACATCCCAGATCCAACTGCCTTCCCCTACTCTAGCATTTAAAGCAATAATTCTCCACTATACAGAATTACCCTATAAGGACTTCAATCCCTTCTAAAGGTGACCCACAACAGATGAAAATGGACTTGTGACTTCGACATTTAAAGGTGTGAAAGTTTGGGTTTGTTTGTTTTAAACAGGGATGTTTCAGGGCCGGTGCAAGGATGTTTTGCGCCCTAGGTGAAACTTCCACCTTACACCCCCCTCCGCCCTGAGGCGCCCCCCCTGCGGCAGCTCCCCGCTGCCCCCCTCCGCCCTGAGGCACCCCCCCTGCAGCAGCTCCCCGCCCCAGCTCACCTCTGCTCCACCTCCTCCCCGAGCATGCCACTGCCGCCGCTTCTCCCACCTCCCAGGCTTGCTGCGCCAATCAGCTCTTTGGCATGCAAGCCTGCGAGAGAGAGAGAAGCAGAGTGGGGCCACGTGCTCAGAGAAGGAGGCGGAGCAGAGGTGAGCTGCGGCGGGGAGCTGTTCCCCTGTGCGCACCTCCCCCAGCCCCATTACTTGCTGCAGGCAGCCCTCCCCGCACCCCTCTGACCCAGCTCACCTCCGCTCCACTGCCTCCCCGGAGCATGCTTTTGGCTGCCCCCAACCACTTGGCGCCCTAGGTGACCGCCTAGTTCGCCTAGTGGTTGCACCGGCCCTGGGATGTTCTGCTTTTTTACATTACAAATTCAAGTCCTTTTTTAGCCTGGAATACAAAATAGTAACATCTCAAGAGTTAAGAAAATGTAAGCTGAGTAACTCTGGGGGGAAGAGAGTTTTAAATCAAGCTGTTTAAATGTTTGCGGTTCTGATGTATGAGAACTAACAACTTCATACTCTGAGACATTCAAGTTCTCCAGCAAAACTACAAAAGACCTGTGATGATGTTTCTGATATTCCTCAAATAAAATCAACATTTACCCTCGATATTTGGAGCTAACATTAGTCCAGTTATCTGAAAAATAAAATTATCTTGAAGTATTTTCAGGTCTAAATTTTTATGACCTAAAGGAACTCATTTTATGAGAACATTCCCCTTCCTTAGTGTTTGAAAAAAGTAAAGCTCTGGCTACACTGCTAGCAAATCTGGGTCTGTGCGACTCATGCCTGGAGACTTGGTGTTTCCAAACCCGTGCTTGAGCATCCACGCTGCATTGGAAAGCTGAGCCTCACAACCGTGCTGGCATGTTCATGCTGCACTACAGACCCATCACAACTTCTACTTCCGGGGGCTTATCCCAGGGTTCCTAGTGCTCTTGCCAGCTGTAGCCACTCTACGACTTGGTTCATAATGGTTTGTGGGAGAACTTATCTGTCCAGCTCATTGAACTTGACCAGAAGTGGGTTGAGCCCAACACATCCAGCTAAGACACGTCTGTATCCGAACACTCCGAGCAGCTAGGAGTCATCAACATGAACCCTGACCCAGTGGAAGAATGTCTTCAGCTCACACTGTCAGTCCTATTTCAGAAATTAGGCAGAGCATCTGTGAGACACTGGCAGTGATATCTGATCTGCCAAAGGCAGATTTCAGAGGATGCTATTGACATGGCAGCTATGACCCAACAGATGCAGTTCATGCCTGTTGCCGCAACCTCACATTCCCCAGTGCTTCTGGAGCAGAGCCACAGACACAGACTGGTGGGATCACATCATCATGTGGATCTGAGATGACAAGCAGCAGCTCCAGAACTTTGTCATGAAAAAGCAGACATTCCTGGAGGTTTGTGATCAGCTTCTCATGACCCTCTAACAACAGGACACACATTAGGGAGGCCATGCCAGTCCAGAAATGAGTTAATATAACCATCTGAAAAACGGCTACTTAGGACTGCTATAGGTCAATGGCTAACCAATTTGGAGTTGGCAAGTCACCTGTGGAGGCTGTTGTGGCAGAGGTTTGTGAGGAAATCAGGAGTGATGTACCCAAAGGTTGTGGGCACTACAAATGTTTCTGAAATAATTGCTGGCTTTGAGAGAATGGGCTTTCCCAACTGCATCAGGGCCATTGATAGGATTCATATGCTCCCAGTTTGCCCTCCACAAGAAGCATGAATACATAAACTGCACACTCCACCATTATGCAGGCACTGGTCAACCCCAGAAGCAGATTCATTGGACACTAACATGGGATGCAGCAGCAAGGTTGAGGGACGTGATCGTTCCCCTCTATTCGACATTGGTGAGGCCTCATCTGGAGTACTGTGTCCAGTTTTGGGCCCCACACTACAAGAAGGATGTGGAAAAATTGGAAAGAGTCCAGCAGAGGGCAAAAAAATGATTAGGGGACTGGAACACATGACTTATGAGGAGAGGCTGAGGGAACTGGGGATGTTTAGTCTTCAGAAGAGAAGAATGAGGGGGGATTTGATAGCTGCTTTCAACTACCTGAAAGGGGGTTCCAAAGAGGATGGCTCTAGACTGTTCTCAGTGGTAGCAGATGACAGAACAAGGAGTAATGATCTCAAGTTGCAGTGGGGGAGATTTAGGTTGGATATTAGGAAAAACTTTTTCACTAGGAGGGTGATGAAACACTGGAATGGGTTACCTAGGGAGGTGGTGGAATCTCCTTCCCTAGAAGTTTTTAAGGTCAGGCTTGACAAAGCCCTGGCTGGGATGATTTAGTCGGGGATCGGTCCTGCTTTGAGCAAGAGGTTGGACTAGATGACCTCTTGAGGTCCCTTCCAACCCTGATAGTCTATGATTCAAGGTGCATGATGCCAAGAATGTCTGGAGATTGGGACTTTATCTTCATGGACAAATTGGGACATTATTTCCACTGAATGACATTGTTATAAATAAAAAAAAAGGAGTACTTGTGGCACCTTAGAGACTAACCAATTTATTTGAGCATGAGCTTTCGTGAGCTACAGCTCACTTCATCGGATGCATACCGTGGAAACTGCAGAAGACATTACATACACACAGAGACCATGAAACAATACCTCCTCCCACCCTACTGTTCTGCTGGTAATAGCTTATCTAAAGTGATCATCAAGTTGGGCCATTTCCAGCACAAATCCAGGTTTTCTCACCCTCCACTCCCCCCCACAGAAACTCACTCTCCTGCTGGTAATAGCCCAAAGTGACCACTCTCTTCACAATGTGTATGATAATCAAGGTGGGCCATTTACTGCACAGATCCAGGTTCTCTCACTCCCTCACCCCCCTCCAAAAATCAGAAGTAGAAAGGTTAGTCAAGTACAGGGTGTAAACAGGATCATTTCATTAATCACCAAACTTGGGAAAAGCCATCACCAGCCCTAACAGCTTGGGTCTAAAACTAGAAAATATTACAACAGCACAGTAAAAAAAGTTCACTTTATTAAAACAGAGAATCAAATGACAAGATATCACATTTAAGTAATAGTGTTCAAGCATTGCAAAGAATAAACCTGAATCCATACCACAGTCAGTGGAGCATACTAGAAAACAGGTAAACTCAAGTCGTGGTGTATATGACATCTTCTGGTTCTTCATTAAATGAATACTTCAATGATAATGAAGCCACTATGTTTCTGCAATCAATGAGGTAGGTGAGGGTTTTGGTTTTTGTTTTTTAAAGTTTTTGAATACCAATTTAAGAATTGCTACCTTTTCTGTTTTGCATGAGACATACAGCATCAGGACTGTATGTATCACAAGTTATCAAAACTGATTTGTAAGGTGTGAGGACACATCATACAAGGAGTATCGACGTCATAATTTCAACTGCTTATGTTGGGTTTGTAACCCTTCCACTAGCAAATGTAGGATTTTATGGGCTATCCACTTATCTTCCTAGTAGCTCTGCCTCTTCTTGCACAATAGTAAATCAATCTCAGGTGGATTATTTATTGTCCAAAACTGCCTTCAATTCAGATGGCTATAGAACAGGATTATGCTGAACAAGGACAGAGAGAGAAAATGCACCTCAGTTATGTTAGACTTTAGGCTATGCAATACTTTCTGGAAGCCTCTGAAGGGGGATCTTTTCCTCTGGACAACAAAGGTGGTCTCCACTACAAGCATCAAAGTAGGAGCAATATGAGATCACTTCCTCATGAAGTGAAAGTCAGTTGATTGCAAAGCAGCTCTCTGAAGGCAGCTTCCTATATAAATCCAATTACACACAGCCCTTCATCCAAAAATTAGGATTATGTACATATTGGAGAAATTTCCCACCAGAGGGACTAGAATACAGTATTCAGTTACTCCTATCAATCCAAAGTGACATGCATGGATGGATCAGTCTCAAGAACAGGACATGCAGGAGGGAAGGAAAGGTTAATTTAAAACTTTACACTAAGCTCCTGGTGCCACAGAACCCTGAAGTATGATTTATAGGGTATATCAAGTTTGTAATAGTTTTTAAGTAATTTCCCTTCCTATACACATGTAAGATTGTTCAAATTGCTACACGATATGCAATAATTTTAAATATCTACGTTATGATAGCAAGAAACAGCAAGTTAAATCAATAGCTTAACATTTCTGATACTCTACATTTATATCTTTTACATGACAACACATTTCAGCATACAGTAATTTACTGTCTACCAAATTTAAAAATATACTCTATAAAGTGTGAAAACTGAACACTGTGTCCAATTATCATCTTTTCTTTAAGAGAGGCAGTTACTTGCCACAAAAATTAAAATTTCACACACAAGACTTAATTCTGCTTTTCACCGTGTCCATGTAACACCTACTGAAGGCAATGGGCTTTTAAGTACCGGTATATATACAATTAACTCAAACCCTATGGATTTTTCATAACTTCAAAAATGAAACTTAACTACTCTGAAATGTCCATTTTATTTCCTGCTTTTTGGAATACAATACAGAGGCAGCATTTTAAAAGAAAAAAGTAACCATCACACTGTTTCAAATTATTAATTGCATTTCTTTTTAAAAAAAGTCTGTTGAAAATAGGCACAACTCTTTCTACATTAGTTTCAGTTGAACATACCTTTAAAAATATTCACATGCCATATTTTTTATTTAAACAGTTAGTCCAACTGAAATCATCTCAGCAGATTTAGATACGAATGAGTAAAATACTGGTATATAACTGTATATAAATTAATTTGCAACAATAAGTTATCTACCTAGATTTTTACACCACACCCACCATCATGGTATCCATATACCACTTTTAATGACCAAGTAAAAACATTTACAAAACTCCCACTTTTTGTTATCTATACTGCAGTAGTGCCTAAAGGCTCAATTAGCATCAAGCCCCATTGTGCCTGGCACTTTGTGAGAGTCACTAATTTTGTGTAGTTTAGTCTTAACTGACTATAAAGTACACAAGATTTTCCAGCTAGGAGAGAACTTGACCACTGAAATAAACCTAAATAGAGAAAAGCATGTACCTTATTTTTAAATTAAAGATGGTATGAAGTATCTGTTCATACAAAACTGCATAGTGTTTTCCCCCAGAGAGAAGGACAATGTTGGTTAATGAAGACAAGCACAGTTACTATAATCTTTATTTAAAGTTCAAATGGCAGCTCATCTTCAATCTGAGAAAGTACAGTTTCAGTGTAGTTATGAAGTCCAACGCCACCAAGCTACTTTCATTCTGTCCCACACAGCAGAGAGAGAATCAAATGCAGGACGGACATCCAAGATGGTGAACTGATAAGAATTATCTACTTCACCACCATCATAATAATCAATAACATATCTGACTTCCTTCCCACAACGATCAATAATCCAATCATGTCTGTCAAAAGGAAGTTCATATCTGGAAAGAGAATTCAGTAAATTAACACCAGCTATGAAATCAAGATGACATTTCATAAAATGGGCACAAGTCATATGTACTATATAGGCTACTCCTGCCTCTGTTCTGGTAAATATAGTTTAAAATTGTCGTTCTAAAACATTTTTAAAAAAATCTACTTCTACATCACATTTCAACATATAAGGAAAAAACCCCACATTTCTGGTCCTGTAAACGTACCCCATCCATGAGCGAATTCTGGCTCTGGGTGAATACTCTTTAGCTTTACCTCCAAACCGGATCAATGATGGTCCACATGGGCATTCCCTAAATGCATTTTAAACAATTAAAAAGACACTTTCAGTTTTAAGACAGATAACGTACAGTTTAAGAACTTGTTTTACTGATACATAAATTGTATATGAGAAAAAGTTGTGGTAAAAAATCAGTTATTCAAATAATAAAACAGTTACTTTAATAAATCTTTAAAATAGATTTACAAGTCAGCAGTAAGCTCTCAATAAATGTGAAAGTAACAGTGTGACTAACATATCTCTTCGGTATCTCCATCGGGGAGGACAGCAATAAGAGTACCCGTGACAGAAGAAAACACTAGAGATCATTTCTGGCCAATGGGATCACACTGGGTCAGATTCTCTTTTTTGAATAGACCACTCAAGTAAAGGAGGAGACTGTGGCCAAGCATTACCCACAGCAGGGGAGCTCTCAGTTGGTGTAAAAATGGCAGAGTTGGATCCTACACCAAACAGCCACTCACCCCAGTGTAAAGGGTGCGTCAGAGGGAGATGGTGAGGTGGACCTCTGCTGATTCTCAGATGACATATGGTTCCCTAGGGTGGACACAATAGAGGTCGATAAAATCATGAATTGTGTGGAGAAAGTGAATAAGGAAGTATTATTTACTCTTCACAGAACACAAAAAACAAGGGTTGCCCAATTAAATTAATAGGCAGCAGATATAAAACAAGCATAAGGAAGTACTTCTTCATACAACACACAGTCAGCTTATGGATCTTATTGCCAGGGGATGTGGTGAAGGCCAAAAGTACAACTGGGTTCAAAAAAATAATTAGATAATTTCATGGACAAAAGGTTCATCAACGGCTACTAGACAAGATGGTCAAGGATGCAACCCCATGCTCTGGGTGTCCCTAAGCCTCTGACTGCCAGATGCTGGGACTGGATCACACAATAGTTTCCCTGTTCTATTCATTCCCTCTGAAGCAATAGCATTGGCTACCATCAGAAGACAGGTTTCAGAGTAGCAGCCGTGTTAGTCTGTATTCGCAAAAAGAAAAGGAGTACTTTTGGCACCTTAGAGACTAACCAATTTATTTGAGCATAAGCTTTCGTGAGCTACAGCTTACTTCATCGGATGCATAAAAGTGGAAAATGCAGTGAGGATGTTTTTATACACACAGTCCATGAAAAAATGGGTGTTTTTCTCCCCTCACCCCACTCTCCTGCTGGTAATAGCTTATCTAAAAGTGATCACTCTCCTTACAATGTGTATGATAATCAAGGTGGGCCATTTCCAGCACAAATCCAGGGTTTAACAAGAACGTCTGGGGAGGGGAGGGGAGGGGAGGGGAGAAAGGGGGTAGGAAAAAACAAGGGGAAATAGGTTACCTTGCATAATGACTTAGCCACTCCCAGTCTCTATTCAAGCCTAAGTTAATTGTATCCAATTTGCAAATGAATTCCAATTCAGCAGTCTCTCGCTGGACTCTGGTTTTGAAGTTTTTCTGTCTTTCATCAGAAGACAGGATACTGGGCTAGATGGACTATTGGTCTGACCCCGTATGCCCAGTCTTATGACCACATATTGCCAACACAAGTTAAAGAAGCCCCTAGGTTATTCTAACTTACTCTGAGAGACGAGCATTCTGACCCACATGACAGGATCTGTAACCAGCTTTCAGATAGCCTCTGCCACCAATATCCTGCACAAAGTGCATCTCAGATGTATGATAATCTAATACAATAGATTTTAAGGCCAGAAAGGAATTTATGATCATCTAGTCTGATCTCCTGTATATCACAGGTCATAGAATTTCACCAGTAATTCCTGCATGTAGCCCCTGCATCCTCTGGCTGAATTACAACATATCTTTTAGAAAGATAGATCATCTTGATTTGAGGACTCCAAGTGATAGAGAATTTACCCCATCCTTGATATGTTCCAATTGTTAGCTTATCCAGTCAATATTTTCATCTTGTTTCCAGTTTAAAAACGTTGCTGACTTAAACTTTCAGTCACTGGATCTTGTTAAACTTTTGTTCCTAACTAAGGGATTTTGGTACTACAGCCAAAAAACACACAAGTCTTAAAGTCTTGGAATTATAAACATCAGGTCATTTTCTGGGTAAATTGAAACCATTCCGACTTTTAAAGACTTACATTAGCAAGAACCAAAGAAATTTTTTGTTTTTCCATCTCAAATGTACTTACACAGCATGAAGAGCTTCCCACTTTAAAATCTCTTTCCAAGCCTGCTCATTGTTCTGATTGTGAATCTTGATAATATTATTCATATCTTTGGGGTTTATGTCATCATCTTTCCACCTCCATCTAAGAAAGGAACACTATTTTGGAAATTTTTACAAATATTGGAGCTTAAATTCCCCACCTCCTCCGAGAGGTGAAAGATCTGCCCCAAGGTTAGAGAGCAACTCTGTCAGAGTCAGAAGTCATGCATTGCTAGCTTCCAGTCCCCTGCTTTAGTCCTCTTAACTTTCTACGTACAACTTATAGTTATCTAACACTAATCACAGCTTGAACAAATAAACAGCATGAGCTAAGTCATGGTATTGGAATGTGCTGACAAAGCTATCTATAGTTAGTTTACATTTCACAGCGCTTAGAAAATTTTGTGCAGGATGCAACCCAAATTCATTTTTGATAGATAAATGTACTAGATAAAGAAAAAAAATCATGTAAGAGTCATGTACAAATAACTCTCTTATTCCCTAATCCGGCACACGCATATACATGCGTTTACATTTAAGTTAAACATCTGCATATGGGTTTGCAGGATCAGGGCCTTAGTGTTAAGATAGTTTATAATAAATGGACTAAAGTTTTACTACTTTGAATACAGTGATATAAATAACTACTGTATTGTATCATCAATTGGACCTTAAAAAGTTTAAATATGACAGTTTCAACAAAAACCCACTTTACACATGTATTATTTGTATGAAAAAAAAAAAAGTTGTCTCACTCTCCCATTACTGATCCAAAGCATTTTTTAGGCTAAGAGATTTATGTGCTTCATTCAGGCCTTGTCTACACTTAAAAAAAAACAAAAAAAAAAAAACCCCACAACACAGAAATCACACTATTGCTAAACCCATTTCTATACTAGTCAACACTAGGCAACCCATATTGCTACCCAAAGCTCCTGCAGCCACCAACATTTTTAACACCACTTTGTCTTAACCTGTTTAGTGAATGTCTAACTGATACTGACAGACACAGAAACCTTGTCTACACAAGGGGTTTTATGTTGCTAACACCAGTGGACCTGATCTAATGTTCAAAATGGAGGAACTTTCGTTAAAAAAAAAAAAATCCACAGTGACCAAGTTTTTAAGACCAATTTCCTCTTGGGAAAACTTTTTAAAGGGATACTGACTTCTCTGAACAAGCTGACTGATTACTGCCTGCAGCCCACCAACCCCTTAATTAAATGCCTACAATATCAACGCATAATGATTTATTTTGCAGTCTTCTGGCTAGCACACATTCTACTGGGTAAAATCAGTTTACTTACCCTTTCCTTAGCATAGCATTCCAAAACATTTGTTCTGACGGATAAACCCATTTTTGTTCTGAATGCGCTCTAGGAATGGAAGACTCTTCTCTGATAGTTGATAATGGAAATGGTTGATTCAGGGATGGCATTTGATTAGGCGGTGGCATCTAAACACAAATGATTGCTTTAACAAAATCTCAGAGCCAAAAGTGTTTTGATATATCATAGTATTTTTTAAAAAACAATCACAGTATAACTATACTGTTGCTACAGACATCAAAAAGCATGGTCCTCTGAAGAAATAACTATTTCTCTTCTGAAGTTGGTACTCCTCATCCATGCCTAAGACTGCCAGATGTCCTCTTTCTCCTCTTTAAACCCAAAGCTCCACATCACAATTTTACTTTAAACAGAGAGAACCTTGCTGAGGCCCTGCAAAAGACCGATCTGAGGAACTCTATCAGGTAGAGCTCATCATTCAACATACCGCAGTGCTCACATCCCTGTCAGCCTTGGAAATATTAAACGAACCCTGAACACACATATAGCAGTGGCTCTATGGGCCATCTTGTCTTTGTTGTTAAGTAGACATTTATAATTGTGAGGGCATTCCCTACCCAAGTGGAATGATTTTAAAAGAAGATCAACTTTTAGGCCTTAACTATTCAGCAGTTTATCTTCAAGTGTATTCGCAACACAAAGATAGAACAGCTTTAACATCGATAGTTCTTTTGTCTGTGCCAGTGCTACTAGTGAGATCTCGTTTTCATAGCCACTTTAGAAGGGAACACACTACACAAAAGACACCCAGACTACACAAAAGTTACCATATTTCTAGGATCTATGTCATCTTTCATTTGAGATGTACTAGATTTCATCGGACACTCCACATATTCATATGCTCGTTCCTGATGTGCAGGAATATTATTATTTTGGTTCTCAACACCTTGGTCAGGAGATTTCATGTGCATTGGACAACCTGAAAAAAATAAAACATTAAACCATGCATTAGTACAAAAATACAATTCATAATCAAATGTAATGGGACTTGGAAAGGGAAGAACATGGTGTGCAAGTAGGTATACAAGTCAATTTTCTTAGAGCTCACCAAACCACAATATAAACCAACCCCCTCCCCCCATCACCCCTTTGCTCTTTTCAGTTGAGAAATGGTTCCAACTCCCTCTGAACAAGTGGATATTATTTCTTATTTTTTAAGGGACAACAACATAATGATATTGAGAGTTCCAATTACACACAAGTACTCGTCAGTCAAATATTTGGCAGTTTTTTTCATTCCTGTGCTTGTCATTTCAACACACCTCTTGAATTTATATTACCAATAACAAATTTTGCAGCTTTTCCATAAGTAATCTGATGATTCCTAAGAGAATGATATCCACAGATTTCATCTGATAAGTAACACACCAAAGTCTCTTGTTAAATGCTGACACCAAGCAACATGAAAATAATTCACCTTATTTTTTTACATCCATATACAACAAAAACCCTGTTCCTGAAATCCCAGACCCTATGTGGAGCCCCACTGACTTAGTTCAGACTCTCTACAGGTCTGCCTATACAGATGAGATTGCCTGGGCCTAAGGAGGAAATGATGAAAAAAAGAGACTTAATAGAGAAGAGTTAAAACACTAATTTTGTAATCACTTGATATAACAGAGCAGGTCATTAATTTAATGGAGAACCTATAACAGTTTCTGTGATGAACTTTCCTTAAAAACAGTACTCCCACAATCATTATTGCAAGTGCCTAGTCGTGACCAATACAATTCAAGTTCCAAAAGAGTTTCTATTATAAAACCTTTTCCACATATTCAAATCTTTCAAACCCAGTTTATTTGGGACTGATGTTTCCATGCTTGTTTCTGCTCAAACATGAATTTATTGGGATGTTTTCCCCCCAAACTTTGTAGCCATCCAAATTCTCTAAGGGTATCAAATTTGCCCTGGAAGTTATAGGGAAGCAAACAGAATTTCACAATATACTTAGTCATTTCAGAGAAGACGCACACTTCAAGAACATATATTTCTACATCCCACAGCATTTGAGGCATCTTAAACGCCAAGACCACATTAAAGATTTTTAATTACTTTTAAGAATTCTAAAAACTGTGCAACTTAAGATTCATAGTTAGTTACCAACAGTCAAGTAATACAAATGCTAAGGTTTGGGGGAAAAAGAAAATCAACTCTGATGCTTTGCACATATACTGTATTTTCTGCTTCTGTTTTTCTGATTAAATGTGTAGTCTAACAATGTTTGCAACAGTATATACATAAGACTACAGGGCACGCAACACAGCTATGCAAATATTGCTGTTTGTTAGAACCTAGTCTTCTGCATGTTAATCATTATAAGTCAGAAGACTTATGTTCTTACTGTGGAACCCCAAACTTTAAATTAAATTAAAGTAGCTTCTGGCATTTACAGTTTAAAAGATCTCAAGTCACTAAGACTAGCCAGACTTAAAGAGTACATGCCTACACATTTTAAGAATGCATTTGGGAATCAGCTCCTCTTATCTTTCAAGACCTCAGTTCAGAGTTCTGTAGTTGAGGACACGAATAACTATAGCAATGTAAGAAATGAAACTTTAGACATCAGACACATCAGTCACTGTTACAGGAGACAGAATCCTGAACTATCACTTTAGCAGGTAAAACAGCTTGGTAAGAAACTCACACCTCTTTACCTTTAAAAATACAACTACTTGCAAGTTGCATTTTTGTGAAGGAAGACACTTGTCATACTAATACTCCTTTACTGATAAATAGCTTTCCTTTCTTGCAAAATATCTTTCAAAGCACTTTTCTGAGATTTAGATTTTGTTTCACTCTATTTTGGTAGGTAGTTACCTTCCATTTTTTCCTGGTGCATGGGACATTCTGAAGGTGGAGATGCTGTTTGAGGGTGTACAGATACATCTTCTGACTGAGCAGCAATAGATGGAGATGAAGTAGACAAACCCATCACAACTTCTAATTTTAGATCAGATTTGAAGAGAAAAAATTGTACATCTAAAAGACAAAACCATGGGCAATTCTTACTAAAACATAACCATGAATACATTTTCCACAGCAAATCACTAAAAAGAAATTAAAGTAAAAAACAGGCATAGGATGGTCAGCATATATAAATAGTTAAACAGTCAGCATTTACAATTAATGATGAATTCATAAACACCAGCAAAATATCTGGCTTTTTAGCAAATGTCCAAGACTATATCTATGAAGCTATATCAGAGCAATGTAAAAATGTTATTCCAAGTCCCTCAGTCTTCAATAAAAAAAAATCAGAACTATTATTTTTATGACAGTCACAAGCACCTTGAGTTATAGTCCAGTTCAGCCCCAATTTACCATGTGACCCCCAGTAAGTGTGGGTCTCCTCTGAAGAGTATCTTTAAAAATAGCACCTTAGGCAAGCCATCTGTTTCCTCTGTGTATACTGCCACATATACCAAAGCTGGTGAAAAAAATAATTCCTTTCGTTGTTCTTTTTAGACCTACATGAACTAATTAATACTGGTAACGGAGCATGAACTGAATTTTATACTATTTCCTATATCAACAAAACTGCTTGTTTAATTCTATTTGTAAGGTTAAATTTTACCTTCACCGTACTATAGCCTAATTTGAAGAGAAGAACAGTCCTGAGGTTAAAACACTGTATGTGGATTTGGGAGATCTGCATTGAACTCCTAATCCTGCCAGACTTTGGGTGACCTTGGACAAATCACTAGATTTCTCTGCACTTCGGATCCCCAGCTGCATAATGGGGAAGATACTTCTCTACCTCCTTGGGTGGCTAGGAGAACAAGTGTGAGCGTCTCCGGCAGGTGCCTAGATACTACGGTGATGGGGCCGTACACATCCAGCCGTAACCCAAGGCCTACCTTGAACAGGCGGGAGCCCAGGTCTAAGTGGGGCCCTAATCTGGCCCGGAGAGGGGCGGCCCTCGCAGTGTCATGCGGGGGGCGAGAGCCCCGGCCGCCCGGGGGCGCAGGCAGCCCCGAGCCCCAACACACGCGCGGCTCAGGGAGCCCGAGGGGCAGAGGCGCGCAGAGGTCACAGTGTGCGGGTCTCCTCCGGCCGCTGGTGCCCTGCCGGCCTGGCGGAGCGGCAGGGAGGCGGCGGACGGGCGTGGGGGCCCGCGGAGTAAGAGCGCCCAAAGGCCCCAGTCCGCTCGGGTCGGCGCCAGGAACACGGGGGTGCCAGGCCCCCCGAGCCCGGCGGCCTCCGCTCCTCCCAGCGGGACCTGAGCAAGGTCAGGGCCGACTCCTGGCTGGCCCCCGCAGCGCCTTTCCCCGGAGAGCGGCCCACGCGCCCGCCCAGCCACGGTACCGCAACGTCCAACGCACCCGGCCAGTACCGGCCACCGGCCACCAGCCCTCCCCGCGGCCAACAGAACCCAGCTCGCGCCGCAACTCCTCGCGCGGTTCGGCATGCGCCGCACGATCTGCGCATGCGCCAAACCGGAAAAGGGGGTGGAGCTAACGCGATGCCAGAAGGGGCGGGGCCTACGGAGCAGCAGGGTGAGGCGCTGAGTTCTGCCGTGCGGGTCGGGGACGTGAGGGGCGCTGGGAGACCGAGCAGCCGTCGGGGAGGTATTTTCTTAGGCCACTTTTAAAAGGAGTGTCATGTAAACACCTTCCCTTGTTCCCCAAGCGGTGTCAGGCTGCGACCAGCCGGTAACAGCCGCAAGGGTGGTTAGAAACGGTAGCACCTCATGATAACGGGGCTGCCCAGTTACTTCCTTTAGCTGCGGGTCCCTGAGGCCTGACCTGAATGAGCTCTTCATTCCCCGCTGCAGCGTTTGAAAGTTGTGTTCACTGTGCAGCTGGATTTCCTGCCCCACTAGCCTTCGCTTTTGTTTGCAATCTGTAATACACCACGTCCTATCAATTTAGAAGTGGAGCTCCGTCAGCTTTCGTGGCCGCTGGAAAATGACAGTACGATTCGTGGATTTACAAAGCCCTGAGCACTAGCCCAGCCCCTATAACCTGAAGTAGCTGAAGAAACCTCTCATTTGTGTAACTGCTTCCTCAGCTCTGTTCAGTCCTCGCAGACAAGTGGAAGTGGGCAGCTTATTTAATGCTGCAATGCAGGTCGAAGCAGGAGAGGTTGACGCAGACTTACATAAGGAACCAATTCTTCCCCTTGCACTTAAGCATGTAGCATGAAAATTGTTATGATGAATTCTCTAGGTCAACTACCATTTCTTAATTTAATAATTAGGTCGCTACTATGATAGAGTAACATGTAAAATGTAACTGAACATAGTTGAATTATCACTAGGAAATCAAAACACATTACCTTGCTATTGGTTGTGGGTATAGCACTGTTCTACTACATTTCAGATGAAGTTTCAGGTTGAGAAGTGAGAGATAGTATTTACCTTATGGTTATACCAAAGAGAGAAGCCTTTTTAACAATGTAGTAGTAGTTATAAAAGTTACAGAAAAAAATCCAAGTACAGGAGCCATAAAACCTTGTGCTAAAATCAACACACCTGCCAGTTTGGGTAGAGATTTTTTTTTTTTTTTTAGGAGGAGTTTAAAAAGAAATGAGAGAGGGAAAAGGTGGGAGTGGTACATTGAGAACTTAGCATTTTGGGTGCCAAATATTTGTCTATGGAAGAAGGAAACTATCCCAATCACTTTTTTTGCTGGTGAAAAAAGTTTTAGTTTAAAGCATTAAAGAAAATGTAACTAGATGATTCATTTTACCCTATATAGTTAAGTGTGACTAGTAACTGAATACACCAAAAATAGCTATAGAATATTCTGATTCTAGCCTCACCAGTGTTCACAGGAATGACCAGAGTCCTCTCATTTAGGAGGTAACTTTCACCCTCGGTTAAGGCCACACACTTGAACACATTTGCTTTGAGGAAAAATATGGATCAATCATGACCTACTTCATTCTGTATGGCAAAACAGAAACACAAGTATTACTCATCTAGTAGTACTATAAGGAGGAAGCATGGATGTTGTCTCAGATGCACTCAGGAAAGCCTCTTCCTTGATAACAAATCTCTCTCAATTCTGGGATATACTCTCTGACCTAGTGTAGTGGGTGACTTCCTTGTGATTCATATAGGAGTTGATGCCCCACGAATTGCTTTGAAATTTGCTAAAACATCCGCTAACGTGATTATGTATGTCAGGGCTCAGATTCAGTCAGTACTCAGGCTACTACCTATTTCTCTAGACTCTCAGTATTCAGTTTTAAAAAATACATTAAGGCTCTCACGGTTATGACTGCACAGAAAAGTTAAAAAATCTGAACTCTGTAACCAGTGCAGAGATGTCTACTAGAGCCTACAGAGAGCCTGGAACAATAACTCAGAAAGACATGCACTTCACATTCATCTCAATGAGATGTTCACTCAGGGTACATCTACAGATTTCTTACTCCTGGGGAATTCTGCACCACTGTGCGCACACAGAATTCATGTGCCCTGAAATTTTTTTTCCTCTGCAGAAAATACATTCTGTCAGAGAGGCTCTGCAGTTATGCCTTTTGCCCACAAAGGACTGCTGTGGTGCCAGAACAGAGGCAGCTGGCTTACCACTTACAGGCTGTAGCAGTCAGCAGCTGATAAGGAGAGAGCAGAGCCTTCATTCCTCACAGTACGCTGTCCGTAGGGCCAAGTGAGGAGGCACAGGATATTGTAGGCAGGAGACAGAGAGAGCAGAGCACAAAGGGCTGCTGGGAGGTCACATAGACAGGGGTTCAGAAGGGCTAGTGGGGGGGGACAGCCTGGAGCAGGGACTGGATGGGAGTGGGGTGGCATGGGGGGCAGAGCCAGACAGGGGATGGCTGAGGGGAGGGGGGTGCAGGGACCCATGGAGATGCGGGGCAGGGAGGAAGGGACACATGGGGACAGGGGCAGATGTGCCTGAGTGAATGGAAGAGGCTAAGGGTCAGCCAAACCTGTTCCATACTTTTCCCACTAGCACCCAACAACCCTCCACTTTCACTCCCCGGCTCCTTCCCAGAAATTACTTCCCTTTCCCTCAGCTCCTCCATTACCTCTGACTCCCCAACATTTGCACTGTTTCTGAGGGGTGCGAAAATTTGTTTCTGTATTGTAGTTTAAATGAATTATTACTCAAAGTTCTGTATTAATATACCTAATAAGGATCTATTCGTCAAAAAAACATTTCCTGAATCTTTTATGTTGTCTATATTGTTACAGACATAGTTGTTGACTGGTATTTTGAAATAAATTACCAAAATAATTGAAACTGGCATGATTATATTGTGTTATTATGACAAATAAAATATGCAGAATTTTAAAATATTGTGCACAGAATTTTTATTTATTTTTTTTGGCACAGAATTCCCCCAGAAGAAACTTTTGTTGGCATAGTTATATTGGTCAAGGGGTGTGAAGAGGTGCGATCCCTGATTGACATATAGCCATGACAGCAGAAGCCCCCTAGTGCAGGTGCAGATATACCAATGAAATTTGCCCTTAGCAGTACAGTTTGTTTTGTTTGTAGGGAGCAGTTTTACTATTCCAGTACAAACTGCAGCTTTGCCTGTATATAGACATTATCATCTCAGGAATCTGAGGTAATAATTTAAATGTCAACCTTGTTAACTGTTTTATTGCTTATGTAAGAAAGGAGCAGGAGGATTACAGATCTGCACAATTTACTGCAAGAGATATCTCAATTTGGTGTTACAAGCAGGGGCCGTCCCCTCCCGCCACATCCATGAGAGAGGTAAGCTGAGGGAGCCACCAAATCCTGTAGACATATTCAAGCTTCACCAAGGGGCGACCCAAGCTCAATGAGCACAGTGGAGTTCACAAAGCAAGCATGATCATAAGCAACTGTGAGTAGCACGGCAATTTGGTGTCTCACATAGGTGCTTATTCTGTCGATAGAGCTTGAAAGACTTTACCACCTCTTCCCCCCAACCCCAATTTTACTCCTGCATATGGTAAAACCTAGATATGCAAGTAAATGGAGCAGGAAGAGCGGGATACAAAACTAATGAGACTATAAGACTGTCCACAAATGACTTACCAAGGAAAATGGTCAATATGTTGGATCATATTAAAGACGTTCTCTATTAAAATCACAGATGAGTTTGATTTCCCCATAGTTTAAATTTCAGGGTATTACTAATTAAGAGGTCTCTTGGTTTTTAGTACTGTTTCTCTCCCTCTATGTGTGAAAATTGCAAGCTGCTTATTGTATTAGTACATTCTAAGACCGAGTCTGTTCTCAAAGCAATTCTTTGTAACAACAACCACTCACACAGAGAGAGACTCAAAGCAATACTCTGTAACAACAGAAACAGCACCCAGAGACTCCCCACCCTTTTGTTGTATTCATCTCGCTTTGTTAACAATTGTGATTAAAATAGAGAGATAGAGGATGTATGTGGATGGATGTTTGGTCTGGATAATAACTGAATGATCAGGGAGGTGCCAGCCTAAGAATCCAGTGTCCATCGGCTGAAGAAGGCGTCAAGTGGAAATAACCAGAGAACCCTCGGAGGGCAGACTGGAATCCACCCACCAGCCTCAAGCATGGGAGAACCAAAGAACAAGATAACATCTGGCAGCACGGAGCCGTCAGGAATGTGACATCTGCTGATTGATTCAGCAACAGCATGATGAAGAAATTCCCATAGACTGACATAGGAAGAAATTCCTATAAAAATGGACTCTGGAAAGTGAGAACTTTGGGGTCTGATTCTGCAAACCAGCTTCCAGGAGCATCAGATGTACATCTGACGAGGCCCTGCTCCCTCCTCATGTCCAGGCCACCTGGCCAGTGGCTTGGCATGAGCAACTCTAAGGCTAGTAACTATGATAACAACCTTGCAGAACTTGTGTGTGTGTGTATGAATGAATGTATGAATACATATGAGAGTGAATGGAATGTTATAGCTATAACTAATTGCTTACTATGATTCTTTCTGTATTCACAATAAATGTGGTATTTTGCCTTTTCCCCTTTAATAAGATCCTGCTGGTTTTTATTTTTTTGGTATAACAAATATACTGCTAATGCAACAGGAGAAAGTCAAGAAACATGCTTTAGACATTCAAATTACAAATATGTTTCACAATCACCCATTTTTGGTAGGAGTCACTGTCCAATAAACCCATTAAAATTAAAAGTAGTTTGTTTATAAGAAGATCAAGTTCTAATACTAACCTTGCCAAATTAGAATTTCTCTCATTAAAAGAACACTGTCACAATTTGAAATGTGGATAGTTTCAAAAATTGAGTTAGAAAGAGTGTCAGGTGTTATACCTACCCAAGTCCCCTCACCAATTGTTGCCATTTTAATCACTTTTAA